TGTAATTGATAGGCTATAAAATAAACATCAAATCCTGCAAAAAAAAATGCCCAATCCCTGGGAATGGGACTTGCATATTTTAACCATGCTCACAGATTGCTCTGTCTGGCTGCAAGTCTCCTTGAAATACAAATCTTCCCCCTCCTAGCTCCGAGCATGCACTGTGTTCACGGGCTGCCAACCTGACCCAAAGCATTAAAGCAAAGCTTTGGTACGAGGCAAAGAATAAAAAAAACAAGGAATAGGTAAAAAAAAAAATTAAATATAAATATATATATTTATATATAGCAGCTGGATTTTTAAAAGGCCCAGCTAAACTCGCAGCTGCACGGCAGCACGTGGAGCTGTGCAAGCTCAGCTAATGATAATTAAATCTCCTGCTGCAGGGGTGAACAGCAATTTCGCGCTAGGTCTGCTGCCCGGGATGAGAGCTCTCCCGGGAAAAGCCACGGCAGCAGGGAGAGGCCAGAGGGTCGGAGCAGGGAGACGCTCTGCTCACTTCCCAGGCAACACCCAGGAGCGCCGGAGCTGGCGCTGCTCTGCCCAACTCCTTCCCGAAAACGGCATCTCCGAGCTAAATAATACATGGCAATCCCGGGGATAAATGACAGGCGGAGGGGCAGGAAGGCAGTGCCAGCTGGATGCAGGCAGGCAGCAGCCCCGGGGCAGCCCGGCTCATCTGCGAGACCCCGCTGCAGAGGGGGGTCCCCACTGCGGCACCCCCGGGTCATCGGGGGAGGACGGCTCAGCGCTGGGCTGAGCTCCCGGGAAAGCACCTGACCTGACTGCAAAGTGGCTCCTTGCATCCAAAGGCAGGGCGTTCCTGGGAAGCAGCCTTGGGAAGAGGCTGCGGGACCAAAGAGCTGCTCTTTGAATGCCGGACGAGTCCCCGGTGTTGACCAAAATAGACTCTTTGCCCAGCTACCGCCCGGCTAAATTTGGGCCCCAGCCTCCTGGATACGTGGAGGCAGCACAGGGCCATTAATTAGCCAGATCTCTTATGTCACATCAGAAATGCTTCACCATGGCAGGCAGGGACACAGCCCTGCCAGGAGCCTGCTCTCACAGCTCCCGAGGAAGAGGATGGTACGGAGGTGACGCTCCGTTCTGCCTGGCTGCTGGAAGAAGAGACTTGAGACAAACCCCAAGTCCTGGCCACTTGTGAGCATTGAGGATTATTTGCCAGACAGGCTATTGCTCTGACCTCTGTGGTGGCTGGTTAGTAGGAGCAGCACAAGAGATTAAATGACAGCAAACTCACAATTTCTGCGGGTTTTATCCTTTTTTCCCATTTCAGCAGTGACTTGGAAATAGGCCTGTTTATACAGGTTAAAATTCCCCATGGGTCACAGACTACCCAAACTCCCCAAAAATTGCCAGCATCGGCCTGAAGTGACCAAAACACACACACGGATGGACAAAACTGGACTTCATTCCGAACGATGCTCGGGGTTTGTGCAGCCATGGACACCCCCACAGACTCCCTCCAGGGTTCCACCTGGGATCCAGCAGCACACCAGGATCCATTATAACAGAGCATCACACTTAAGAGCATTTGCTGAATCATTCACTCCACCTCCTGTATTTAATTTCTCCATGACACACTAAATACCTTCCCTTCCTGTCCTAAAGAGCTGTGGGGTGCATTGGGGGGAGTGAAAATGGTTTTGGCTCTGACTTGATGCTCAGCTCTGCAAGGAAGTTGTTCATTTGGAATTCCCTGTTGAACACCAAGGTAAGACAGATCAGTGCCAACCCTAGAGGGATAAATAATAGTTTAGAGATGACCACAGGATCTCTTGTTGAACATTTCCACCCGTGGCTGGCAAAGGATGAATCACTGAGTGTTTCCCTACCCCTCTGAAAAGAGGAGAAATGGAGTTTTAAGAGAATAATGCTTCATAACACTAGGCATGCTGTTGGATAAGGAAAAGACAAGGCAGAAGCCAAGAGCTGATAAAAGCTACAGCTTGTAATTCCATTGCACCTTCTCTACTCAATAAATGGGTTTCAGTCAGAGCATCTCTTCCATCCAACCCAAAAAGGACCTGAAGGGTGAGTTGATTGCATTGATCGTGCATGCATTTTCCCGGCAGGGAAACTGGCCCGGTCCCTCGCTGCTCCTGTCCAAAGTACTCCACTTACTTATTACGGGAATATCGCCAGAGACTCCGGGGCCAGGGAGCGGGACACCACGGGGAATTCATTGCTCTCTGCGTGCTGGGAACGTTAAGTGAGAAGGCAGAGCAGGGGGGTATGGCAGCGGCTCAGCTCAGCCTTTCCCCCATCACAGCCCCTGCCAGCCCATCACTCCTGCTACGGGTTTTGACAGCCCTGTGGGATCGTTCCCAGGTCTCCTGCAGGGAGAGCAGCGCAGATCTGCTGGGACAAACTGCCTCACGCAGCTCCTGTCCCCCACAGCCAGCACTCAGTCCTGTCACTCCTCACACCTTACACGGGCATCCTCCCCTTCCTCCCCAAGCAAGAAACTCCCTCTGCAAGAAATTCCCTCGATCCCTACTCACAGCTGTGACACCGCTCAGGCGTCCAGCCCCGAGCCAAACCATCTCTTCTGCTGCTCCCAGGCTGCCCACTACTATAGAGTCAGTTGGTGTGCCCACCTCCATCCCTAAAACCCTACATCTCTCCCTAAGGAAGAATGCACATCACTGGGATGCAGTGCCAGACTTGGTACAAAGCACAAAGTGTCTCAGGAAGATCAGCACTGCCACAGGGATGCACTGGCTGGAGGGCACTGCTGTCCTAAACCAGCACAGGGTGAGCATCAAACCCCAAAACAAGAGCAAAAGGCACTGCACAAGACACGTCTGTGTCCAGCTGTCATGCCCTCTGTCGTCAGCCGTCTGGTTGTGTCCTGCCCTAAGGGACGGCACACGTGTCCGGGAGGTGGGAATGGGACACCCCAGGGCAGCACCAGCCTCCCTGCTCTGCTGCAGGAATGACAGGCAGGAGGCAGGGCAGGCTGGCAGCTCACAGCAGCACTGCCCAGCCCGGGGAGATGGGTCGAGGTACCTGGGTTTGCTAATTAACCCCGAGGCAATTCCCTGCCCACACAGCAGCGCTCCTTTAACAGAGCTGCCTCCACCTCTCCCGGCAAGAGGCTGAGCCGTGCCTTGCCGGAGTGTCTTCGAAGGAGAAGGCTATCAGCTCCAAACAGCCGAGACCTTTAGCTCAAATCCATTAATCCTCTTTATTAAACCCAGGTCACCTCTGAGTCCTGGCAAATTAACCAGCATCTCCCCACTGCAAGTACATCAAGAGGAAACGCGCTGTACAGCGCCTGTAATTTTCATGGACCAGGGCTCCGGGGTCAGAGGGCTCCCCGGGCTCCACTCTCTGCCTTTGTCAATTTAAAAGGGAACATCGGCTTGCGCTTGTATAAATTACGGGAGAGGCAGAGCGGGGCCCCGGGGCGGTCGCAGGGCACTCTGCCGGCTGCAGCCGGGCCACTGGCTCCTCTCCTGCCCGAGGATGGGAGCGGGGGATGACAAGATCACAAGCACTGAGTCCCCTGGGGGGATAAAATGGGGCTGGGGACATCCTCCAAACAGCTGGGCAGCCGTGGTACCGTGCTTGGCATCCTCCAAGGCTACCTTGGCCACGGGCCTTCTTGCTGCCTCTAATAAATGGCACATCCCTGGTGCCAGCCCAGCTGGGGAGCAACAGAAAGGGAGACTGGAAGGGCTTCGCTCCAGCTCAGAAGTGGGTGGAAAATTGTTCCCTTGTTGCCTGAAATTTCACCATTTGAAACATCTCCCCCTTTCTGCGCTCTCCTGTTGGAGCCACTCTACTCTGAATACTCACCAAGCCAGCACCAAAGCGAGAGCGGCTCTATTTCTGAAGAGCCAAGGACATTTAGCTGGGCTGGGGAAGACCTGGGGCCAAATCCCTTATAAAAACTAATTATACACCCAGCAGAAGAGCTGCAAAAACGAAAGCCAGCCCAGCCTGGCCTGAGGAAGAAGGATTCTGTGTGGGCTGGGGGATGAGGGCAGCACAGGGACTGCAGGTCACAGCACTCCCTGGGATGAGCCTCCTCCTGCTCCTAAAAGCAGTATCCTCAAGACAAGTGAACTTTCCAGAGAGCCAAGCCAAGAGTGCTCACACGTTCTGTGAGTGAAGATGACGAAAAAGACATTTTTCAAGGGGGGAAAAACATGCAGGAAAATTTCCAAGCAGGTCCATAAGAGCTATAAGCATCACACCTATTCCCCTGAGACAACTCCACACATGGCACTTCCCAGCACTCTCTCCATTCACAGCTCTACCACAGGGCTATAAATCCACTGGCTTTGGCTGAAGTTGCTCTGGTTTTACAGCAGCTTAAGCCAGCAGAGAGTGAGCTGGGGAACTGTGATCCAAACACTGGGGTGCTCACCCTTAACTCAGTCCAACGGCATCAGGGGTTTTCAACCTGGGTTGGAGTTGAAGGTAGGATTAACACCCAGCATCTTCAATCTCCCAGCCATCAGCTTGTATCCCAGCTTTAGTTTTCTACTGAAAACATCATTTCTTGCTCTATTTAATCACCGCAAGGTCATTTCAGTGACAGTTGCCAGCATCCAAGCCAAGGAACCTGAGGAGCAGAGCCCTGTCCTGCCGACCAGATAAAAGGAGGAGATGCTGGGTTTCATTTCCTTGTTTTCAATTGAGAGGTGCCCACCTCGGTGTGCAGATTAAGGTGTGGGTGGGCCGATGTCAGCCCCCCGTGGGCTGAGATGGGAAGCTGCCGCTTGCTCTGCTCATCAGGAGCCCCGAGGAGAGAAATTGCATAGTTCTCCCTGCGGCCCTCTGCCCACCTCGAACCAATTTCTGCTCCTTTTAATTCAATTCAGCTCCTCCTGACCTTGGCTGGCTGGAGTTGCAGAGTTTCTCTCAACAGATAGCACCAATTACAGAGGTGTGAAAATGGAAGGCTTTCAATTCGGAGAACAAACCCAAGAAACTGGGACTTTATTGAACTGAGAAATGGGGGGTGGGAAAGGGGGAGCAGGCAGGGGCACGGGCTCGGAACTATCACCTGTGCTCGCTCTAAAAACCAAATGCCGTGGTTGTTCCCTCCGTGGGGGAAGGTGAAGGCATTCCCAGGGGCTGGGATGGCAAATGCCACGAGAGGCGCAGGTTCAGGTGTGCAGAGGCAATGGCACCCGGGGATGAGGGACACAAAACCCCTCGGCTGCATCCCCGGCTCACGCCTCGCTCGTTAGCAGCTCCGAGCCGGCACGTTCACGTGCAGCCCCCGACGGGCTCATTCCAACCCCTCAAAATCAGATCTGACAGATCTGACACGAGCTGAGTTTGCTTCCCCGCAGCAGATCCAGGCTGGATTGACTCTGCAGCATCTGCAGCCCGATCCGTCCATTTGGCACAGCGGCACCTCTGTCCACACCACGCTGTCTGTCCCCCCACAAAGCCAGTGCCAGCCAAGGACTGCGGGTCAAGCCTCTGCAGACCCCAGTGGCAGCACAAGCCCAGTCAGATCCAGGTGGGAGGGCTCTGGAAGGATGGCAGAGCTGACTGCCTCAGCAGAGAGATCAGCACACGGACAGACTGTATAAAAACTGCACAGTACAGCCTGTGATGATCAGAGAGTCCCCAGACAAAAGCGGGAATGTTCAGTTCATGGGAAGGAGGCAGAGATAAGCACTTCCCTGGGCTGAGCTCACTGAAGCTCTTTGCCCAACATGCCCTGATGCTAAAAAAAAAAATAATAAAACTAAAGTAAGAAGTCCTAGATGCCTAGGATAGAAAATGGGGTTACTCTCACGTGAAACAGCACCACCGAGTATGGCCCCCACCATCTCTGGATACCTCCAGGTACCTCCTGGGCTGCAAGGATGCAAAAAAGCCTCCCCCAGACCTGAAAACTCCCTTCCCCAGTCCTGTCTCCACCTGACTGGTCAGACCACCTCCATCAGCACAATGCCCATGTGCCAACCAAACCCAGGACCTCCCCTTTGATCCCAGACAGTTTAGACTTCTCCTCACCCCTGGAGGGTTCAAGGCCAGGGTGGACAGGGCTTGGAGCAACCTGGTCTAGTGGAAGGTTGCCCTGCCTATGTCAGGGAGGTGGGATGAGATGGGCTTTAAGGTGCCTTCCAACCCAAACCATTCTGTGATTCAATGATTCCCTACCCTGATGAGGAGAACCTCACGCTGCAAAGCTCTGCCTCTTCCAGACCAGCACACGAAGAGCAAGAGGGTCCTCTCAGTCTGAATTTTGGGCAAGTGCCCGTCTGGTTGGCACATCTGAGCTGGCTCAACATCCCCTTTTCAGAGTCTCAGAGCTGGGGGGCCACCAAAATGAAGAGGTGGCTCTCTCGTGCCTCTGTCCCAAGAGCTGCCACGACTTGTCAGGACTCAGAGTAGCTTGGAGGTGTGTGGTTTCAAAGCCAGTGCAGCACCTCCTGCATCTCCAGCCAAGCTGTGACCACAGCTCCACCGGCACTGCCCATAAATCCTCCAGCCCGGTAAACAGCCGAATTACGTCGCCCCGCCATTGCTTAGCTGCTTTTGACACTAATTGCTTTGCGGAGTGTGTGCAACTGGCAACACCTTATTAAAAGTGAAATATATTATACTGTCCACTTATTGCAGCTTTATAAAGATAAAGTATCCCGAGGATACGGAAGGGCTGGCAAAGGCATCGGCTCTCGGCCTCGAGCGGCCGGCGGAGGCTGCAGCGCACAAAGGCAACAC